CTAGACGTAACTGTAAGTTCTAATCTAATAGTTTCTTTTCTCGCGCTTTTCATAAATAGAACTCTTTTCCGATTTCTTCTTTCCCTACAATTTTCAAAAATTTAAATACAACGCCAATCGCCATCTTCTGTCTTTCTGAAACTTTTTCTTTTATTGTCTTTTCTCTTCAATAATGTCTTCTCATTCTCTTCCACTCCCAGTGACCTCTAACTTTTTAGTGGTCTTATCGCCTTGCTTGGGGTGATATAATAAATAGAAGATAAAGCTTAAAGATTCTTAAAGAATTAAATATGAAATCAAAAATTACTGACCAATTAATACAGTCGAATGTTTTTTTTTATTTATAGATGCACAATTTATACGAAGCATTTTTTTCTGAATGTCAGTTGCAAAAACATGACAATCTTCACAATACTTAGAAAACACTGTTCTTCTTTATGTGCCGTATCCTTTCAGGATATAAGCGATCATGACTCTCCACAACTTCCTTGTAGCTCTAGTAATCAGGGAATCTATAAACCGTGAGATGAATTGATGTCAAGATGAGAATAATTATAAACTCGTTTGACACCGATTTATAAAATTTTAAAAAAGATTTTCAAACTTCTATACAATATCCACAGCAGTTATTACATTATCATAATCAACAAAATACCATTTTTAATTCCATGTTTCTTCAGGAAGTGGGTGATAATGGTTCTCTACAGAATCCTTTTCTTTATTAACCATGCATCTCCATGGCTTCTTAAAAAAGTTCGACTTGTTTCCCATTGTCTCCTTTTTGTTTTTGATTTCACAAATGTCCTTCTACATTGATACCACCCAAGGTTATTTTTTTAATTTTTTTTTTTAAATGCCATCTCCATTCGTTTTTTCTTATCATCTACAGATTGTTATAATTTCTTGGGAAAGAGTGTAGATTTGTTTCCCGTTGCCTTCTCCACTGTTTTGATTTCAGAGTTTTCCTTCTAGACTGACCATCACTCGAGGCAAAAGAGTCTAATCTTTTTCTATATGCCATGTCCACAGTTTCCCTTTTCTTTATTTTCTTAGAACTGCAATGACTTCTTGGGGAAGTAAAGTAGTTTCAGTTGCTTTCTCCACGCTTCTGAATTCAGAAATGCCTTTTCACCAAGACTGACTATCACCCAAGTATAAACATTTCCTTTTTTTTATTTAAAAAAAAACAACAAACATACAAGCAAAAATGCCATATCCATTCTAGATGTTGGCGATGATGTCTCTCTGCAACTTACTTTTTCTTTATTATCTGTGAATTGCGATGACGACTTGTGAAAATGCGTTTGCCTTCTCCGTTGTTTTAAATTTAGGGTAGTACTTCTACTAAGCCGTCTACCACCCAAGGCTAAAAATCTAATATTGTTTTCTTTGTTTTAAGTGCTATGTCCATCCTAGAACGCAACAGGCTCGGTCAGAATTTTATCTCGACTCGCCTATTACATTTGACCGCTCTGATAACCGTTTCGCTACCTTCCCATAAGTGCTACCGATGATTATGATAATGATGATGAGGAGGAAAAGTAGTAAGATGATGATGGGGAGAATTAAGAGTAAGATGATATTAATGGGGAGGAAAGGGAGGAGGAGTAAGAGTAAGATAATGATGCTAATGATGATGGTGGTGGTGATGATGAAGAGGAGGCGGAGTTAGAGTAAGATAATGATGATGGTGGTGGTGGTGGTGGTGGTGGTGGTGGTGGTGGTGGTGGTGGTGGTGATGATGATGTGAAGGAGTACTATGATGATGATGAGGAGGAGTAAGAGTAAGAATGATGAAGTTGATGATGAGGAGTAGTAAGCTCATGATGATGAAGATGATGATGACGAGGAGGAGTAAGATGATGATGACGATGAGGCGGAGGAGGAGTACGATGATAAGGAGGAGGAGAGTTAAGAGTAAGGATGATGATGGCCATGATGATGAGTAGGAGTAGTAAGATCATGATGAGGATGATGATAACGAGGAGTAGGAGGTGGAGCAGGAGTAAGAGTAAAAAGATGATGAAGAGAAGGAGAAGGAGTAAGATGATGATGATGATGATGATCATGAGGAGGAGGAGGAGGAGAAAATTGTGACAATGAAGAAAACAAGAGAGAAAAATAAGAAATGTTTGACCTACGTTTCGTTCCAATATGTCTGATAACGGTCTGCTCAGGAACTGTGCCCTTGTCTATGGGACATTTAGTTCCTTCCTGACATTGGCAAGTAGGCATCTGAGAATCAAACACCTGGTCACCATCACAGATCGACATCTGGCACGAAGAATTGGCTGTACACATGGCATTGTCGTCCTCCTAAACGCAGCAGCAACGGAAGATAAGTTAAAAGAATACAAAACGAAATTATTATTAATGAAATAAAACAAATCAGAAAATGGTTCATTCGAATTGTAACATTTATTGTCAGGGGAAATATAAAGTGTAAAAAAATATCTGAAAATATTGACTGTGGTAATAAAATAAGCCCATCACATCTCCC